TATGCTGCACATGCACTCACCCACTTGTGGAGAACATGGTGAAGGATGACTCATCCGTATCACCCCCCCATGTATTTATAGACCAGTGCCTGTGGTTTTAGCCCTACTGAACTCTCAAATGTGCTTTCGTCTTTGTAATGAGGGACTTATTCACTGCAACACTACAGACTGTTCTTGCTCACATCCTGCTGTGACATTCTCATTCACCTGAGGAACAGTTGCTGTGCTGTTTTCTTTACATATTGCACAAAAGCACAAGCATCACACACAGTTAATGCACACCTCCAAGCACAATTTCAGCCTGATTAACTGATGTCTTTCGTATAGATTTATAAATGCAGATGTCACTTTAGTCATTGTTCCTCTTGAAACACTAGTCAGTTGAGCTGTCTTTGTGACTGTTCTGCATAATGTCAGTTATGACAAAGCTACTGTAGTAGACTTTAAATAAATAAATAATACATACTACTGCTAAAAATAATATAAATAAAACTACTAACCACTAATAATAATAATTCTTTTTCTTCATCTTTCTCTTTTTTATTCCTCCTTTTCTTTTTTTATGTCAACTTGTTGAAATTCCTATCAGAGGGTACTATGAATCATTCCAGTTTATCACAGTGAGAGCAGAAAAATAAGGAATCAATGAGAACCAGGCTTTTGCAAATTTTCCGGTCCTCCCCCTCCAAGTGAACTTGATTTTCTCTAGTTTTTAATGAAATGTTATATCTTCCAGCCATCTGCCATGGGAAGGGGGTTTTAGATTTTTGCGATTAAACAGGCAAAGATGACAAAACAAACAGGTGAAAGCCACCACATTATAACGCACACGATAGGTTAACGAGTTCCTCCTCGTACAAAACTGTCTCCTCGCTTGCACTTGAAAGCAGCGTTACTAAAAAAACAAAAATTCTCTCGGAAGGGCAGGTGTGACTGCAATTCTGAAATGAACCACTAGAGGTGTACTTATAAGGAGCTTATAGTGCGGGTCTGAAAGTGTGGATCTGAAAGTGCGGTACTGCGGGTCTGCAGCTGGATACTACTGACACAGTTAAGTGTGTTCAGTTCATTCAAACACAGCAACACCATATAATGTTCAAATTACATACACAGAACTAATTAGCCAGTAGACAGCTCAACGGTTTGTCTAAACTGAAATCTGAAGAAATTCAAAAGGAGCTCCTCCTAACGTATTTCAAATGAGCTAGAATTAATGGTTACTCTGTGCGACCTGCCTGTAGTTTTGAATCATTTTAGTTTTTAATTGCCTAAAATAAAGATGTTTTGATCAAGTATGGGTAAAGCAAAGTGTCCAAGCCCCCACCCTGCCAATGTCCCCTGCCCCTCAACAAGGCCATGATAATGGAAGATAGTGGCTTGGATCACTTGGTCCCTGTCATGGCAGAATAATGTTATACATGTTGATGTCTCTCATTTGTGCTTCTCCGTTGTCATAGTTATGAGTTATTGTGAAGCGTCTGCCGGTTTCATGCTCTGTTTTCACATGATGAGTCAGAGAGAATGATTCAAATGTGACATAATAGCCAACTGTCAAAGTGCTTATTTACTGTCAAAATTACTCACCATGTGTGATCCACTGTTGTTGAACACATGAAGTCAAAGTTTTTCGTAATCGATGCTGTTAAAAACGAGCCTCTTAACTGCCAACACAACTCTCAAACTGTTTCTTGAAGTTGAAGTTGCCTTGTGCTATTGAATTTCTTCTCCACCTTGTTGTCTTATCCAACATCTGAACTGATCTTTTGTTGTCGTATATGACAGATCTTTTAGAAATGTTTGCTTAGTCCACTAACTGATAAGGCGCCACACATAATGACAGATTCCACTGATTTTTTTTTGTCCTTAGTCATCCTTCAATCAAAGTCCTCACACATAGATTTGCCCAGAACAAAAGACCATGCGCATTCAGACAATTTCTAATGCTTTGGAATTGTCATCAGCTGGTAATTCCTAATTCCTAATATCCAGTACGGCCCAAAAGATAATGAGTTTCTCTTTTCAGTATTAGTTCTTCTCAGTGTGTTTTTTAGAAATGCTCTGGATTGTTGCTTTTGGGATCATGTCTGTTGTTAAGGCACTGTATAAATAAAATATTTTTAGGGCTGAAAAACGTTACATTATCAATGATGTATATTTCCGCTGTTTTATATTTCCGTTGTTGACATTTTCAGAGCGCTGTCCAGCCTAGATGAGTTAATGATTTAAAGGGGAATTCGCTGATATTTCAAAATGTGTGTATAATTAAATGATGAAGCTGTAAACAGAGTCAGATTGGGTTGATGTGATAAGGTTAATTGTAGAGAAATTTACCTACTCTGATTTCTGTACAGTGGTGGTGGTGATAGGAACCAGTGACAATGCAAAAATACCCATTTAATATACTATCCCAAATGGCCAGTGAATCATCACGTGTCTTCTGAGTTTTATACACAGTCAAGTCACATTATTATGACGATTTCATGTCCACAAGCTGGTGGTGGCAGCGTTATGGTCTGAGGAATGTTTTCGTGGCATTCTCTGGGCCCACTTATCCATGTGGAAGGCACTCTCAACCAATTTGGGTATGAATCCATCCTTGCAGATCACATACACCCATACATGCTGGGCGGGTGGGCTCTTCCAACAAGACAATGTGACGTCACACTGCTAGAAATGTCCAACATTGGTTGGAAGAGCATGACCAAGTACTACCCTGGCCCCCTAATTCTCCAGACTTGAAGCCAGTTGAGCATCTGTGGGACCACCTCGTTCATCATGTTCGCTCTATGTATCCTCCACCACGCACCCTTTAGCTGCAGTGGGAATCATTGCAGTCAGCATGGCTCTAGATACCTGTGACAACCATGACCTTATTGAGTCACTCCTAGCGCGTCTAGCTGCTGTCCATGCTGCACACAGCGGTTACTCTGGATATGAGCTGGTGTTCATAATAATATGACTCGACTGTGTATGTAATCCTGTTAATGCTGGAAATGCTGATAATGATAAAAATAAGTTTTCTTTAAGGACTGTTTTACCTTAGAACACCCTGCATGTACACTGTGGATCAAAACTTCCTCAAAACTATTGTTAAACAATGTCTTAGACATCAGGCAGCGTATTCAACCATTTCATCTAATAACTTTGTGTGAAAGCTTTTAGAGGAATTAAACTCTTCACATGTCTTGTTCCTGTCGCCCCTGCTTTGAACAGTTCTGTTTTTTTTAGAACAGAGCGTTTCACATCAAACCACTCTGAATGACTTTGTGTATATTGGAACTATTTAATGAAACATTTTTGAAACATCAGTGGAATATAACCGAAAGAGGGCAGCAGTTTACCTATAGGGTCTTGTGAGCAGGTAACTACCGAAAGCTCAGAAAAGAAGAGAAGTTCGGAAGCATTTTCTGAAAACGAAGAATAAAGTAGTCGCATACAAGATATTAACGTCTGACTTAGCTTTTTTCAACCACCTGAAGAGAAAATTTCCCAGTGTTGATTGTGAAGCGACAGAATGGTCAGTAAACAGCAGCTTTCTCTCTATGACAGTGTTATGACATATAAATGAGCCATAAAGTCATAATATCAGGTTCAGCTCAGCTTTTGAGTACTGATTAGGTTAATTTAAATGTGGTTTTTCTCCCAGCCAGTTTGTAAAGCATTTTACAGCCTATCTTGTTAGTCAGTTTGTTTCTGGCCAATTCTAGTTTGTTTAGCTGTTCCGCCTTCACAGCCGTAGATAGAAAAGCTTGCTCAGGGGCAGCAACAGGTTCAGAATTTGATGTAGGCCTGCTATCACGCTCAGAGTCTGACCAAACGGGCTGCCGGTCAAATATTATCTTATTATGTAATGTATCTAATGTTATCTAATGTATTAGTTTTCTATTTTTGTGTGTGCAGAAATGTAATAACAGTTACCCACAGCATAAAGTGAGTTGTTACTTAGCAGCTGGTGCTCAGCAGAATAATGCAGTTATTGTGGAAAAAACATGCTACCATAAATGACACTTTTCAGTCAATCATTGATTAGGGTGATAATTGTCATAAAACACTGGCCGCTTGAGCAATAATATTGCAGTATGAGTGTGAGTATTTATAAAGAACTAGTTATTTGCTGTATGTGTAGTATAAATCAAAGGCCTTTAAATGGAATGTGTGGTCACAACGTTTGTTTATATCAGTGTGCATGTAAAAAAGAAGTACATCCACTTAGAGCCGAGCAAAATAACAATTTTTTCATTATTGTAATATATAACATCACAGTATGTCCCAGTATGCTTTTTTTTGAGAATATGATGGATATCATAAGTACTTAAACAGTACATACTACTTACCAACTGCATATTCGTTTACAAAAAAGGGGGCATAATTAGTCCTGTTTAATGACACGTGGATGTGTTTGTCATCTCTTCATAAGCTCTGAATCAGTAGTTATAGAACAAATAGTTTCAGTTTCCAGTTTTAAAACAAGGCTGAGGCACATTTAAAGTCATTGTAAAATACTCAGTATGCACGTTTGACTGCACATATAAATTCTATTATATATTAAGGCTCCAGGGTTTCTCCATAATGTAAAAGCAGTAGGCCACTCGAGGCTGTTACAGGGATTTTACTCTGCTTTGCATACTGCAAAACCAGTGTGACTCAAGGAGTCTTGTGGCTTATTGCTCTTAATATCACAAGACATAAAATAAGACATAAATAAAACCAACAAGCCAGGATCCAGGTTTACATTATCACTGTTACTGTATATCTGCCCAATCAGTTGTGACCTTTTTCTCATATGACTTTTGTTTACATCTTTTGGTTCGATGTTAAATAATGTGAATGCTAAGCGTACCAGAACTAAAGTGCAACAGTGTATCATAATCTGTTTTGGTTTGGACCAAGGGACTTACAAATATAAACACACCCCTTAGAATCTAATCGCAGGTTTTAGGAGTAAAAACACACTACAGGGAGGAAAAAAAACTGAATCTTTCTACTTCTCTCTCTCACAGGTTCTGATCCAGATCTCTACAGGTTGCAGCTCAGTTCAGCAGATGCCAATGGAGCAGCAGAGGAATATGATGAGGTATGCTGCACAGGCACACACAATGTGGTTTTGTTTGCACTGTATCTGTCCTCAATACCACTGTTTCCGGCTGAACTCTCGCTGCCCTCACTCTCTCTCTGTCTCTCTCTCTCTGTTTCTCTTTCTGCTTCTCTCTCTGTGTGCTCTCCTTTTCTTTGTTATGTTGGGTAGCTTCGGGCTGCGTATGTCTGTTATTATCCTTTGTGGCTAGCATAACTGGCATTCCAGGACATTGTGTCTGTACACATGTTTGTGTTTTAACTAAACTGTGTGGAATTCACTTATTATTTCAGCTTTTCTAAGAATCTGATCTTAACATAAGAATGTGTCTGTGAGAGAGCAAGAGAGAGAGAGAGTGAGAGAGAGAAGGAGAAGCACTGTCTCAGCAATAAAGCCAACACAGTCCAGCACTGATAGGCATATTTTACATGCAAGATAAGTGACGCTTGATTGGAGGCTCTTTTGGAGCAGTGGAAGGAATGGAAGAAGCAGCAGACACGTTCACACAGACATCAGCGTCCTTCTGCATCTCCTCTTCAAATGGAGACATGGTCAATCTGGTTATCGTCCCAAAAGAGAGTGAAGAGAGGAGGGAATTAACTTTATATTGAACTTCACAGAGAGAGAGAGCTGTTTGCTGTGCGCTTGTGGCGCCACCTGCTGATGAGGCGATACTGTTCAGGACGAGCCCCTGAACACTCATGCATCACTTTCTCTCACTGTCACAGTTCATTGGAACTGGCACATCAGATTACAGAACCCTTAATAACTATAACTCACCAGCTCCTGTGCTGTGGAGAACAAGGCTAAATGGCATTGGCACCTTTTTGCATTCTTTGCCTGATTTGTATTCCTCCCTGTTCTGCAGAACTAATGCTCTAATGTCTTTTTTTGAAAAAGCAATGAATCACTTTTTCACCAACGCTGAATAGAACTATACTCTAATTCTTGTACAATATGACTGCTAAATTTTTTTTCTTGACAGAAATAGCTAATCATCTAGCCTCCCCGTCACATGCACACATACACACGGACAGCATATTTTGTTTAAATGTTGATGTAGTATTGAGTGTAATGCTGCTTTCATGTGATTGGTTTAAAAAATAACTTTTTCTTCAAGAAGCAAAGAAAAAGTTTGCTTACTGAATTTTGAGTTTGACGTTTCGTTTTAATGACTGAATAGAAAACGTTTTTAAAATTGTCATTATTATTGTTATTATAAAATTCTTGTAATTACTTAGTGTTATTGGTAATCGTTATTAATTTCCTTTACTGCGTTAAGTATAAATTCTACTTATTTAACTATTAAATTGAACCTTTTTGAATTTACTACAACAAACCGTACAAAACAATGAAAAACATAACTAATATGGTTATTATCGCAAATAGCATAAAATGCTAATCTGGGTCATCCTCCCCAATCTGGCGACCCTGAAGAGGCTGTTGGCACTATTTTAACGTGTTGGTGATGAGCGGTGCATCAGAACAGAGGTCATTTTTTAAGTGACGTTTAAATATAAACAACTTTGTTGGTCACCTCTTGTCATTGAATGTGGGAGTGACCATATTTCAGATCAGTGGTGTTGGGAGAAAAAACATTTTTTGGTTGGCCTGTAAAATGGTGGTTAGGCCAACTTTGTAAATGAACACTGCGACCCCTTTCACTGTAAAGCGTGCATCCACTGAAGATGACAGTTCAGATCAGACAGCTGAGCTGTACAATGACGAGGAAAAACACCCCTGTAAACTTAAAAACCTAAACCTCATCACTCTTGTTAATACTGTCACCAAGTGCATGAAAAATGTTTATGAACCATTTATGTCTTACCTTGTATGGCTCAGTGCATTGAAGTAGACATTAGCTTTGACGTTTTGAGATATTTTAGCTTTAAAAGAGCTAAAGTAGTAAAAGCATTACAAGTGCTAAATTTGCAAAACGACTGACAACAGCATTTTTTGCATTAGTTTTTGGCTTTGGAAATGGATAGAAAACAGCATGCTACATTGGGGACAGGGTCACCCCCAGGTGTATCTTTTGACCGCAGCTGCAGCATCACATTCAGACACCAGCCCGCTGATGTTGAACTGAAGGCTTGCTATGATCTAACAAAGCCAAAATGTTGGTTTTATTTAGTTTGTGTCGCACACTACATTTGATTCGGGGTATAAGTTACATGACGGATGTGTTTTGTCATTACTCTGATAAACCTAGTCAATAATAAGAGCTTACCCATCCAAACTGCACTCACTAAAATGAAGGAAGCCTCGTGCTTCTTTTAACATAGTAAGAGAAAACTTGATATCACAAAGATTTGTTTCTCTGTGGTTAATGGGGACATGCACCTACCGTAACTCCACCACTGAGGTGCTTAGTTTAATAGGGTTAAACAGTCCCAGGTTGAGGGAATAAAAATTATTACAGTGGTTTTCAACCGGTTGGCCTTGGCCCCTCAGTGGGCAATTTTTTATTTGTCCTTTTTTACCGCAAAATTGTTACAGTATTGACATTTAACCAAATGTAATTTTAAAAATGACAGATTTTGTTGTGATAATTATTTACAAAAACAAAACATTTATATCAAGGTCATTCATTGGTCAGACAAAATGGTCTGTTGTTATTGCTCAGTGCAAGTAAAATGTTCTACTTCTCTATCACAGAGAACTCGATCCTTGTGGATAAATAGTTAAATATAGTTAAGAATAGTGTCTCAGACTGAGAAAACTGAGAAAATACAGCTGGGAACTGAAAACAAGTTCCACTCTGAGTTATATGTTCAGAGGTTTTGTCAAATGAAGTTTTGAAGCTAAATGATTCACGCCGTCATTTGGAGATGAGTTTGCAAGTGTCCGTCTAAACCTGTTGAATTGAGCCAGAACTCTGTCTGCAAATTTCCTCATCTTAGTTGCCAAGCAACATCAGCGATCTGATTAGGAGTCAGAAAGAACGACTGGATTGGTTAAATCTTCTTGTGGGACATGAAATCTTTTGTGGTTGTTTGTGTGGGCTGTGAGCAACAAAAGGTGGGGAACCCCTGCATTATTAAATATATCAAGTATAAGCATTTTGGTGTTATATTGGCCCAGGGTTTGTTATTTGATATTTACCCTTTTTCCAGAGTTAATAGGTCACTTGAGATCACTTTTTAAATTTTTTTAATAAAAAAAAAATTGGCCAATTGAAGTTGGTGCAAAATTCCAAAGGTGTGAATTCAAAAGGGTTTGTGTCAGTTGTTAACATGAAGTTTAGTAAGTGAACCCGTGCTGAAGCACACAGGTGCTGACGAATTGTGAGGGTCAGTGCACTTCTGAGTGTTTTTGCGAGTGCGGTTAAGAGCTCTGTGAATGGACGTTTTGAGGAGAGACACACCTGGGAGTTTACGGGAGTTGACGTTTCCTCTCGTCTTTCCGAATCCCCTCCCCATCCATCTGATGAATGAATACGTTGTTTCTCCGTTTGCTCTCAAAACATGCAAGGTGGCTGGGTGGAGCGCAACATCCAGCAGTGAAACATGCAAACGTGCTCTCGTGGGTACACACACACACAAACAGAATATTATTTCCCAAACTTGTGCACATTCTTACCTAAACACGCACATTTTTAAAGATTATGATTATTATTTCAAATATTAGTGTTATTACTAATTATTATTGATTTACTTTGCTGTGCTGTTGCATAATTTTTAATAACTTATTTAAGTGATTAAAACCTGAAGAGGCCGTTAACACATAAATACACTCTACTTTTAGAGTACTTTTGTCTTTGTGAGGTGTTTCCATTAAAGATCGTTTGAGGTGCTGGTATTCAGATTGTTTGGACGTTTGGGCTGGTTTAATTTAGAGAGGAAACACACACACAGTGAATGTAAAGATGTGGGGAAGGGGGAGGCGTGGTGGTGGTGGTGATGGCCCCGCCTATTCCTGGTTGTTTTGCCCTTCGGACCTCATAGGCTACGCTTCAGTTTTCCAAGGATTAAACTTCAGACACGTCCCCACACTCTTTCTCTCTTACTTTGTCTTTCTTTCTTCCTGTCTGTCTCTTTCCTTTTCAGTGTCTCTCTTTTTCCTTTCTCTCTGTCTCTTCTTCCTATCTTCAGAATCATTGTAAATGAGTAAAAGGGGGAAGAAAGCGCTGTTTTTGGAGATCTTATAAGGGATACTTTCCTGCTTAGTGTTGTGTCTCAGGTTGAGGTCATGGTTCTGGGCATGGCCACCAGCCCTCTGGGCCCTTCTACTCCTGGAGCTCCACCAGCGTTTGTGGAGGTAAAGTAGGCACTGTGGTCAACTTTAGGCTTACCTTCTTGTAGCTTGCTTATGTTGTGGATGAAGATATAGCTAGACGTTGTGACAGACAGATGTCGATCAGGTTGGTTTAAAGAGGAATTTCACCTTTTCTAAAATTCACAGCAATTCGGTCTTTAGAATGTAAGCAAAGTCATTCAGAGTCGTTTGTGTAATGTGATGTCATTGTAGAGAAACTTGCCAGCTTTCTTTACAGGGAACCATTTATTCACTGACACCATTTATTTACAAACCACCAGTGAACCTACACATTTTTATATGTATTGTTTATAATGGTACGATAGAGGTCTTAAGTGGTTTTAAGAAAAACTATTTTGCGTTACAGCACTCGCATGTACCTCTGTGGCAAGAAAAAATAAATAAATTTTGGGCCAAAATATACTCACAAAAATTGTAAAACAGTGTCTGAGACATAAGGAAGCATATTCGTAACCATTTCATGTAATAACGTGCTGTGAGGGAGCATCTTAACCATTATTTATACAATTTTTAAAGATTCGATGGAAATCTCCTTTAATTTGATTCTGTATGTTATGTTAGACAAATATAAATAGTACAGTCACAGTTGATGCCTATGTATGTTTTTTCAAAAGTTTTTTTTGAAGCAAAGTCCCAGCATATGGTAAACAACTTCAGTTATGTTGGAAGGCATGTAAAGCTGCGTCCAGACAAACGGGGTCATTTTAAAGGACTAAAATATAACACTGATATAGGGCACTGTTGGTATTAGGCACGGCACAGTTCAATATGTGTTGTTTTCTAGATTTGATTGAGTTGGTGTGTCCAAACTGACACTATAAATTGTAGTGGATTGTAAGTTTTGCCGATGTCAATTCTTGCTGTGCTGCGTGTGTGCTGTATGATTATGTCTCTTGATAAAGTTTGAAGGAAAAAAAAAATAATGCTGACACCATGTTTTTCTCCCTCTACCAACTTTAACCTGTTCACTGAGCAGTTGGTTGTCTCCATGGTAATCGTAACAACTGCGTACTAGAGTGGACTCACTGGACAGTAACCTTTTATGGAAACAGCTGCTTGATTGGTAAAAACGAATTGGACATCATAGAAGTGTTGCCTTTGGCTTTGACGTTTACAACCATGAGCTGTTTACCGGAAGTTTAAGTTTTTACTCGCGTGGCCATTTATGGGATATTTTATTGTGTCAGTTCAGTTCATGGGTTTTCGTAAGCTGCAATAAGGTGTGTTAAAAGTGCTGCTTAGGCCTGTCAGAAGTGTTATGTATCAACTGAGTACAATTATTTAAGCTGATCATAGTTATTTTATCTGATTGTGGTTATTTCTTCATGTTGCAACAAGCAGAATGTGAATTGGGTGCATGTTCTTCCCTTGGGTTGAGGCAAATACATGTAAATAAAAAAAAAGCAGTAGCACAGTTAGGCTGTGTACACATTACAAGCCTCATTGCTCGGTTGTGATTTTTTGGGCAGATGCGATCTTTTTAATTTCATGGTTCACATTCGTGGAGCTGAGCCATTAATGTGAACAAGCCTGTGATGACCTGCATGCGCACATCCTAATCAATGACGTCATATAAATGAACAATGTGCGTCATAAACAACAAACTCACCAGCGGAACCAGCCTATATCATAAAGATAATTAGTCCCGATCAGCTCTCAGCTTTTCATTATTAGTGTGAGATGAACACAAAAAATGCACCAATTACTGACATAAGCTTCATATTAGATGCTGCTGCCATGTTAACACTGAATGAAGATGCCTGCACAGCGGGGGGAAAAAACACATTAATTCCAATCTGAGCATTTTCATTAAGGTCGCATGGCCACAAATCGGATAGGTATCTGATGTCTGAGACCACATGTGAAAGGGATTCAGATCTGATATGAAGAGATCAGATTTTCATGTCCACAAAGCTCTGAAAACATCAGATTGGCATCACAAGGCAAAAATCGGAATTTGTATCACTTCAGCCTGGTAATGTGAACGTAGACTTATTCAGACACATCATGGATCTTACAAAAACAAAAAAAGTTCCAACTTCAGACTTGGTGCTAAAACACCTTTAGTGATCATGAGTAATGTTTGCTTATTTGAGCTTAACCCTTGTCAGTTTGGATTGAATAAGTATCAAAAGCTAGAAAGCAAAATAGATGATTAGCCGAAATAGCTGTAGGTTTATTTTTTAATAGTTGCACACAGTTAGCAAAAAATTAAACTGTTAATCACAGTTATTTTTACTGTACATTATTGTCAGCTGAAATGTCATGATTTAGACAGGCCTGCTGCAGTTCTTTTGATGTTTCTTTTCAGCAGCTCTTTAGACGTGAGAAAACAAATGATGTAGAGTGAAATGAATGAATGACTGAATGGTGTGTATGTGTTTGTGTGTGTGCCTGTGTAAATGTGTTTCTTGCCGAAATGGAAAAGTGAGCTCATTGTAAGCTGTGAATAAGCTAAGTAGGTAATTTCACACACCTTCCTGTTCAGATTCATTGGAAGCAATTTCTGCACAATGACGTCCTCTGTTGTGCTTTTATTGCTCGCATGTAGGTTCCGCTTTGATAGTGAGCTGATGAATCAGTAATAATGAATCAGTAACGGTGTGTGCAGATGTTGCTAATGTGTTCATGTGTTGTGTGTTTGTTTGTGCAGCAGGCGGAGGTGTCGGACAGTGCATATCTGGGCTCGGAGAGTGCATACAGTGAGTGTGAGACGTTTACAGACGAGGACACTGGAGCGCTTGTTCATCCTGAACTACACGAGGACGTGGAGACGGACAGTGGCATTGAAAACACACTCACGGAGGGCGAGGACAGGAACAGGTAAACCACGCACACGGTAAAATACACAAATATTACACATATGATCAGCGGTTATTTAGTGAGCCCCCAGTATACACATACTTTGTAAGCACATGCACATGTATCGAGAAATTTTTTAGAAATTTAAAACTTAAAAAAAATACTATGCATCTCACCAATCATCTGTCGTCTACATATTCAGTTTTGAGCCAATATTATTATCTTAGTAATTTTTTTTATTACTATTATCCTAGTTTATTAATTAGTTTGAGATATTTATGTGAATGTGGAGTGACGCCTCATACCCCCATGAAAACTTTGATTTAAAAAGTGCTCATGGAACAAAATATAGAGATTACTGAGTAAATTCATATATATGACAGCTTTGCTTAAGATTTGCTTAAGGCTTTTCCCCAGACTAGTGTCACAAAGTTGGAAGCATATAAATGTCTGAAATGTCTTTGTATACTGTAGCATTAACGTGACCCTAACTAAGTGGCCTAGCCCAACCCATGACAAACAGCCTCAGCCCCATTACCCCTCCTCCACCAAACTTTCCTACTGCAATGCAGAGTGCCAACAGAATGTAGGTAGCATTCTCCTGACATCTGCCAAACCCAGATTCATCCATCAGACTGCCAGATAGTGAAGCATGATTCACCACTCCAGGGAGAACATTTCCACTCCAGAGTCCAGTGGTACAGTGCTTTACACCACTCCAACTGACGCTTGGCTTTGCAAACAGTGATCTTAGGCTTGGGTGCAGCTGCTTGGCCATGGAAACACATTTTAAGAAGCTCCTGACGCAGTTCTTTTGCTGATGTTGCTTCCAGAGGCAGTTTTTAACTCTGTAATGAGTGATGCAACAGAAGATATGGGATTTCTTTATGCACTGCAGCACTCACCAGCCCCACTCTCTGAGTTTGAGTGGTCTTCCACTTCATGGCTGAGCTGTTATTGCTCCTAGACACATTTCACAATAATATGATGAATAATACAAACAAAAATAATGGGCAACAGGAACAATAGCCTGTAGGTTAACTTAGCACAGTATACTTAAGCTTCTTTCTCCTATGCGCGATGAAAACGTGTGCTTTGGTGTGTTGTATACATACATTTTGGGGGGGAGGTGATGGGGGGGGTATTGGCTCTTGCCACTAGATAGAACAATAATTAGATAAGACCTACTCATAACCTGTGACTTGTGACCTTGTTTGTAGTCTTAAAAGTGTCATTTCAGACCACCTCACACACACACATACACACACTTACACACGCACACACAGATACTGTGTTACTGCATGAAACCTTGAACTAGACAGTGAACAGCACATGCTGTGTCAGTATCACTTTCTGGCTTTTCATAAGCGAAGACTCAGTACGCAGTAAGTTTGAACTCACTTTAAACTCAGTTTTCTTTGATTAAAACCTTTCTCTTTGTACTGTTCTACTTCTTCAAACACAAGCAATCGTGTGTGTGTGTGTGTGTTTTGAGTATGGTTTTTGTAAGTGTTTTAGGTTGAAGATTAGAGTCACCTTTTAGGCTCATCTACATCCCGACCATTGGATACATCCATTCTGGAGAGCACAGATCTCAACACGACTGAGAGATTGTAATTTATAATGTCTTTGGAAGCTTATTATTTTAGATTGGTATGTGGTAGTGTAAGGTAATGTAGTGCAGTTTAATGTAGGGTAGGGTAAGGTAGTGTAGTGTGGTTTAGTGTAATGTAATGTAATGTAGTGTAGTGGTAATATATTGTGGCTCGGTGTAATGTAGTGTAGGGTAATGTAAGGGAGTGTAGCATAGTTCATTGTAGTGATGTAGTGTAGTGTTGTGTGGTTGTGAGTAAAGTGTAGAGTCGTGTAATGTAATGTCTAGTGTTGTGTAATATAATGTAAGGTAGTGTAAAGTGCAGTGTAGTTTACTGTGGATGATTGTAGTGAGTGTTGTGTGGTGTAATGTAGTGTAGTTTGTAATGAGTGTAGTGTGCTTGTTATTGGTACATTTTGTTTGTGTGTGTGTGTGTGTGTGTGTGTGTGTGTGTGTGTGTGCATGTGTGTCCTTGTATGTATCTGCCGAGTCAGAATTCTGTTTTTGCTCTGCTGATAATTTGAAGCTGACTGAGGTGTTTGTGTTTCCTGTGTGTGTGTGGAGCTGACAGCACTCTGTCTTTATTTTTCCAGCTTCTCAATAGCAGGAAATGTGGAGTGTGCGCTTTCCTCCATCCACCTCCCTTGAGTCTATCCATCACTCCATATCTCTCTCTATCTCTCTCTCCCTCTCCCTCTGTCTTTCTCTCAGTCGATGTTTTGGATTTCAGGAGTTATTATTCAGAGATTTAGAGTTTCATATTATTCAGAGATTTAGTGTGTGTGTGTGTGTGTGTGTGTGTGTGTGTGTGTGTGTGTAAAGGTTGTGTCGTCCCCCTGAAGCAAATTTAGCACTGTAGCACACAAACATCCAGATAAATCTAGAGTTTCTTTCTCATTTCTCTCTCTCTCTTATTCTCTCTCTTTTTTCTTGCGGGGGATTTATTTATTTATGTTTGTGTGTGTGTCAGGATGTAAACTGGGGTCTGTCTCAGGCAGCAGGATTTCTGGCGTAGCCAGTTAACTTGAGTATTAGTTTAAATATCTCTTGGACCAATCAGGGCCAAGTCAAGTTTTCTGGTGGAGACAGACCCCCTCCGGTCATTTTCCGATCACATTCTTTTGCAAATTGCTGTAAAGCAGCCATGAATTTATGTTATAGTACAGATGAAATCAAGACACTAAAGTGGCACAGCAACCAGTTAGCTGCCTCTTCGTAAACAGCTAAACACGTCACATGAAAATAAATGCTTTTCAGTGCAGGAACAAATCATACAAATCACATATATATAAATAATATAAACATGCTGTTGTAGCAGTGGCAGCAGCAACAGTTGCCTTTTGCCATTAAAGTTGCATTACTTTCTCACACTCTGGAAGAGTTGTGTGGTCAGGACATGTAATGAGTGATACAGGCTTTTTCTCTGTTTGAGTACAAATGGCAAGCAGCATGGCCTGTTACATGTGTACTCAAACATATAAAAAGGCAACTTCTAAGATATTTAATCTTAACATGAATATGATGAGGACATGCATAAAATACCAAATATGTATGTTTGCTTTTCTGTAAATCCAGAGACGCCCAGATTAGGTTTCCCACACTTTTATCCATGTACTCTTTGAGTAAATCATGTTTCAATCGAAAGTAGGTTTGTTTAGCTTTGAAAAAAACTTTTAGCCAGTGGTCAGTGTTGCAGTAAGGACATGTAAATCAGCGCAGACATATTTAGAGGGGAAAAATGACATTAATAACGGATTAACAGCAGTATTTATTCAATAGTTTTTTGATTTAGCATTTATAAAGTGCGGTTTCAGTATAAAAAGAAATTAATTGTGTACTCTCAGTAACATTTTTATGTACTTGAATTTTGAAATCACAGGTCCTGGTGAAGGAATGAAATGAATAAAACTTGTATTTTTAACTCATAATGTGCTAAATAAATTACTTTAGCTCAGGACATTTAGCAACCATTTTATATAAGGAAATGTTTAATGACACTACTGAACTATATGCGTTTTCAGAAACAACCATACATAACGTCACACTCACATGCTGTTGCTGGGGATTAAATACTAAAAAGATTTACCTTCCTATACTTCCCACTGGCCCTCAAACAGACATATGCACACCCAGTCACCCCCGCTGAGCTCTAAATCTGATTAACCCACAGCCACACAACGGCCAGCACACACACACAGTCTTAGAGCCACATGGAATGAAGAGGCCGTCTGCCTAGTTTCTTTATTTTAGCGTTGTAATATTTGCGACGAGAGAAGTTCTGGAGTTCTGATCCAGGCCTTAGTCTGAAATGATTCACTTTCATATATGACTTGGAAGCGTCTCTGAAGCCTATGACCTGTTAGCTTTAGATATAGGTCATTATTAGCTTGAAGAGAGGTAAATTAATTTAAATAAAGCAGTAAGTCTCCGTGTGTCAGGTAATTGTAGAATTGTGTTCAGATGAGAAGTGGAGGTAGTTTAGTTTGCACTTTGCATCTCTGACTTCTCTGGATGTTTACTTCGCTTTGCCTGAACGTTGAGCAAGCGCTGACAACCTGTGCTCCAGATTATTAAGCGTTTCCAAGGTTAGGAGACAGCGGCGTTTGAAGATGCGTTCGCTGTCTTCTCCTGCGCTGTGCGTGGCCAGTCGGAGTGTTGCAGTGAGTAAGGGGTAAGTAAGCGGTTGTTGAGTCAGTCTTCATGTTGTTCTGTCTCAGATTGTTTGATCTCTCACGTCAAAGCAGTATGACACCAAAATGTGTATGGATTTGAATGAGTGACATCTGAGACATAAATGTGTTTTTTTTTGTCGTTTTGACAAGAAATACTTCCTAACAAACTCTTCAGCGAGCTCAGGGGTCAGCAACATGCAGCTCTTTCACTGCTCTGGTGCGGCTCCACAGCAGAATTAGATTTTTAGGCAAAAATAAAATAATCCTCCTTTGCAGTAAAATAAAGCTCTGCTGATCGTTTTAACAGTGTTTTAACAGTAAATGGTCTTAAACAGTGAGTTAATGTATAACTGCTAATTCACCCTTTAACCCTGAAGGTTGGCACACAGACTGCTGGTCACAGCAACACAGACAACAATCTCGCCTAGCTAGTAGCTAAAGACAAACAGAGAGATTTAAGACGAACATCGACAATTTGGTGACAAATGGACTTTTATAAGCACTCTAGCTGGTTTCCTTAAATGTGTAATCTGCAACGGGAAACTTTCAAACACTAAGAAGTCAGGAAGCTGACTCGTAAAAAGTCAAATAGTGAGAGACATTTTACAAGAAAATCTACTTTTGTGGAAAAAATTGCTGCCGGAAATGCGAGAAAAAAGCGACTACAGCAGGGCAAAGTACGTCTGCGTTTTTGTTTATATTATATTTTTAGCCTACACCAGGACATCAACACATACTGAGACATATTTACAGCC